TTTTTTGTTTTAGTATTTTGAAGTTGACCAATTGTTACTATAAGCAATTAATGATTATAGATGATCTGCACCGTAGTTCAGTCCCAAATATAGAAGTTATGGAAACAACTATATAGGAAATTTCTGCTCAAAGTTAATCCTTATTTCCATTACCTAACAAGGTATTGTACAACAAGGAATGGAACAACTTTGAACACCCCTATAGCACATAGTAATAGATAACAAGTTGCACGAACATGCAAAATTATTTTATATATATGAAAAATTTCATTCAATTCTACTACATCCCCAAGAGTAAAAATTTTTTTTCCAATATTCTTAAAGGAAAATACATTTATATATGTATGCTCATTGACATTTGCTTCACAATGTAAAATAAAAAAAGTTATTTTATAGTACTAAAGTATAGTACTATTTTCCGATCTATAGAGTTCACCGAAATCAACTTTTTTTTTTTTATTGGTATTAAACAATACAATAATGAAACACGAGCCTCAGATTGTTAATCATTTTGTTCAAAACAAAGTCCTCTCATCATTAATATTAATTAACCCCCGAATTCAAGGAACTCACTCGCCTTTAATTTGACAAACTTTCTTTTTAGAAAAAAAGTTATTAATTAAATGAGAGATTAATCTTTCGGAAATTAACTAATTAAATTGACCGAATCGTTGTTAGTATTAATTGAATGAAAAAAGTCTGATCTTGATCTAAAATGTAAACAAGTCCGAATTCAAATTTTTGATTATTAATGAATTTGATAAATTATTTAAAGGAAGCAGCTTATTCTCTCTCTCAAGTATGTATACAAAATAATAATAATAATAAAAATAATGAAAAATAATTTTGTTATCGTCATTTTATTCTTTCTTGCTATAACGGGTTTAGGATTTTCAGCGCCACAAAAAAGAGCAACTGATATCACTCCAGATGAAATCACTAGGATTGCTAAACTTGCTCAGGATCAGGACCCGGTAGGTTTAGTGGGAGATTTATCACCATCATGTCAATCAGCATTATTTAGTATTGTTGCCTCTCCAGGATTTCTAGAATGCATTCCAATTCCTGCATTTTTACCACTTTTACCACTTTTAGCCGATCCTAGTGTAATTGCATCACTTATTTCCGATCCAAAGACTGGACTTCAAAAACTTCAACCTGCCTTGATAGAATTCTCTAATGCGTTCTGTGCAGCACCAAAATGTTCTGATCAAGGTGTTGCAGATGCTATTAAGACAATTCAAACTGGATGTAATTCAGATGATATGAAAAACGCATTAATGCAAATCATATTTCCTGCTGTCGTTTTCTATTCTCCTGCGAGGGATACACTGTGTTTTAAAGACGCTGGAAATCCAAGCCACTTTTGCTTAGTTGAAGATGACATCACCACTTCAATCAACTTACCTAAATCTCCGTTCAATCTTGGTGGTGGGGACTTTTTTGATTCTATCATAGTTGCTGATCCAACAGCCATCTGTACTACATGTAACAAGGCAATTTATAACACTATTGACGATTTTATCAATACCAACGATTTGGCTAAACAAATTCTTGC